ACACAAGCTCTCGGCCGGAGGTTAGTCGACCCCCACCTTCAGCGGGCAGCCGCCAGGAGCGCGGTTTAGTCAGGTTAGGGATGTTTGAATAGTGTTCTCCTCCCTACTAGTAACTCACAAAAGTTGCACTTCCAAGAGGGCCCTTTTTGGTAAGGCATAATCAGGCCTTTTTAATCTTCGAAATCTGTAGGCAGCCAACCAAAATCAAATCATAATCAGTACATTAGCCGTAAAGTGTAATCATTCGTAATCTGAGTCTGAGACTTTACGGTAATTCATGATCGGCTGTGAAAATTTTGCATAATTCGTAATCACTTTGTAATCATTCGTAACATTCAAGAATGGTCCTTTTATGGTCAAAGATGCTGTTACTCGGAAAATGTTTGTTACCACATTTCTGAATTGTTATTGGCATGCATGGTTTCAGGAAAGGTTTTGTTAGGCCACACCAATTTAATTTGTTGGTTCTCGGATTCGCCTCTTCGTTTTTTTCTGATTTGCAAAAAAAAAAATAATGATTCTGGTCCTGAATCAACTGAAAAATGCTCATGTTTTGCCCCCATCAGTTGAGAAAAGTCCTTTTCTTCCTAGTTGTTACAGTTTTCCCATCTATCATTGCAGTGGTTTGATTAAAAGTTCAAAATTCAATGTTTAAATTTTAACCCAGCCTTTTGTGTTGACTTCATGGCTCATTTTGTAGCATTTAAGCCTATAATAGGATGCCTACACCTGTTTTTATTTTTATTTTTTTTCGCCCTGTCGCTTCATATTTTTTCTTAAAAAATCCGAGAACCAACAAATTAAATTGGTGTGGCCTTATGTAAGTATTTTGTTATGTAAGAAGTATTTTGCCTAATGATCTGTCATCTACACCTCTGGTAGGAAATCTTTTAAAAGGGTGGGCAGAAGTGAGTCTGAAGCAGACAATTATCTCTAATCACTCTCCCATTAGTGCAGAATTAGTCTAATTGGTCCTGAAGCTGGAGGGTTCCCTTGAACTGAGTGGGGAGATCGGTGTCATCACCTGTTACGGTGTGCATGAGTGGAGCTCATTAGTTTGTCCTGGTCTATTGCCAGTCCTTAATGAAGGAGGAACTCTGATAAAAACATGTTTTCAAGAAGGTTATTTTGAATGCCATCCTCGGTTGGTCAACTTTTGTTTTCACTGGGATAAGTATATATATATACACACGTAGTTACTGTAGTGTGAAATCTTACACTCAGCACAATTGTTATGGCTACAACATGTATGATATCTGTGGTAATGATTTGGCATTCGAAATTTTACAAATTTTTGTTTTTGTTGTAAACATTGTTGATTTTGCAGACAAAGTTTGGCGCAATCCTTTGTAGTGACATCAAAAGCACCCAAAGCTATTTTGGTGCAGTAAAATTTAAAGTAGGTTGAATAAACCCTATAATATACTATTGCCAATGGTGTATTGAATCTATTGATTTAAAAATTTTACTGCCCCAAAATTGCTTTTGGTGCCTTTAACATACATGTATGCCACTTCACATACTAATATCTGTGAGGCAAAAATGCATGTTGCTGGAAACTGTTGCATGTATCGTAGCTTGTTCTGAGGTTATTTCAAATGCTTCAAGTAAGAAATGATGAGAAAAATGTGCCTCGAAATGGCAGCAAATGTCAATGTCAGATCTTCTTATCCAGAATATTGTTTGTTTTGCCGCCCTAAAATTGTATGGCATGCCTTTAACTAAGGGAAGGGCATTGTGCATCTACCAGCAAAGGGCCTGCATGGGGGGTAGTGATTACGAATTACGCAAAATTTTCACCAGCCATTACAAATTACATTTAAGTCTCAGAGCTGATTACGACTTTACGCTTTGCAGCTAATATTCTATTACGAATTATGTTGATTTTTTGGGAGGTTGCCTACAGATTACGAAGACTAAAAAGGCCTGATTACGCCTTACGAAAAAGGGCATGCAGGCCCCCTAGCAGTATGATACGTGTAACTTTTGTTGTTTAGTTGGCCACCATACATGGCTCTTTCATCACTTCCACGGAACCATATTTCATGGCGTGGCCCGTTCTGTTTTGGCAACTTGTCTGGCATTTACACAGAAGCACCGAGGACAGAAAATACAAGTCACCGCAAGGTTGCCTGGAGGGAATTTCACTTTCACTTAGAAAAGATCAGGAAACGCTGCTTTTGAAGATAACTATTTGTTTATTTATTTATTAAGATTTACCACATATGTGGAAGGATTGACATAACAGGTGACTATCACCTATTCAAGATGTCAAACCTGAGACCAGACTGTAAGGCTTGAGCCACTCACACCAAGAAGTACCCCTACTCTCGCAATGGTGTGGTGGCATCTTCAATGTGCTCAAGGTGTGGCTCTTCTTAAACATATATAGAGGCAACACATACATGTAGGTACTCATTTTGAGTTAAGTGAGGAAATATAAAGTACCTTTCCCAAGAACACAACAATGGGGCCTGCCAGGAATTCAAACCCAGAACCTTCCTTATTCTGAATCAACAACCCAAACCGCCATAGACCATCTTGCCACAAGACGATGCATACCTTTCTTGAGAGATGTTCCTTCTGGAAATCCAAGAAGACTGAGTAGGAGGAAGAAACATCAGTCTCTCACCAGCACAGACACTGACGTAATAATGTTGGCAGAAGAACAAAGCAACAAGGAGGTGTAGAGTGAACCAGGAGGGCAAAAAACAGTTTTGTCCCAACCGTGCAAGGGGAGTAGAAAGACATTTCTACAAAACAAACAACGGAGCGCATCAGAACGTCATCTGGAACAGCAGTGTTCTAGCCAGCCTGAATTCTGTTTCTATCACTCTCAATTTTTGCTCAACATAATATCACGTCGAGTGCTGAAGGCACGAGGTGTTGCACTGGATGTATGACAATCCTAGGGGCTCCCCCTGGAAATCTTGATCCTCTGAAGTGCCATTTTCTGCATTTTGAGGGGCAAATTTTGCTGATAGACTACACTCACTCACTCACTCACTCACTCACTCACTCACTCATGATCACTAGCTCTCACTCTCACTCACTCACTCACTCACTCACTCACTCACTCACTCACTCACTCACTCACTCACTCACTCCGTACACCAAGCTCAACTTAATGACATCTCTTTGCATATCTTTACATGCCAATTCTTGTCAGTCAAAGATGACTGACTGTGTAAAATTTTGGCAGGAACTGCAAACTTTCATCGAATGATGGAAAGACGGATACTGGCAATGGCTAAAAGTAGAATACTTAGCAGTACAACAGGATGGTGTATAGCCTTGTTAGTGTTACCTGTGTTGTACCCATTGAGCATGACAGACAACATCCTGTGTACAGCAGTAGGCTGGCACTTACACTACTAAGCTTGTTTCCTGCCCAAGTTGGTGAGTTCGTGCCCTGGGTATCCGATGGACGGCCAAGAAACTGTCAGTTCCGGAAGACAAACAGTGGAATAACTCATCCCTTTTGTGAAAGTTTGGCAAGATGGAGAGATGCTGGTCTAGATAGTGAAGCCTGAGGTCTTAAGTTATAAGAAGAAATTTGAATGGTGCCAATATATTGTCAGATAAAGTAATGCAAGAAGAGTAGAAGACATTGCAACTAGAATGAGATTTCTGTCAATGCAGTTGTTGACATATGGATGACATGTTGAATCTCTCTCTCTCTCTC